GCCCTGCGCGGCGTGCCCGTGTCGCACTTCGTGGGCATCGACGGCGTGCGCGCCTTCCTCCAGTCCTACTCGCACGAGGTGTCGCTCACGGCCGACTCGCGCAAGAGCCAGCTGCGCTTCTCGGCCGGCAGCTGCTGCGACACCCTCCCGGCCCGGCCGCCGCCCGACGAGCCCGCGCCGCTGCTCGGGGACCAGGATCCTGCCGGCGCCCTCCCCATGGATCCCACCGCACCCTCGGTGAGTTTCTCGGGTCGAATTCTGTCCGTGGCCCTTCCTCCTCCTACTTCCCTGTCCTTTTCCCCTCCGGTCTCTGTCCTGAGTAGGGAAGTGTTCTGACAAGTAAGGCATAGCTTTGGTGACGGATTTTCTTGTGGTTCTTGCAGTGTGAGGTGGAGGAAGGCTCAACGCGCTGCTTTCAGATTCAATCTGAATGCACATATATTGGCGTAGGTGTTGGCTAGGAATTCGTGAGTGTTTGTGGTTTCATCAGGCACCAGGTGGTTTCTGTGCCGTGAAATGTGAAATACTCATGAGCGTTTTGGTATAAGCTGTTGTGAATGGATAGGTTGTATTAGTAGCAAATTGTAGTTTTCGTTCTTTGTTGATTCAGGTGTCTTCCCAAGGTTTCATGTGCTTGATTGGGATGAGAATCTCTATACTGTAATCTTGACAGCTCTGAGTGTAACTTCGCTGCTCGTGGTTTGTATTCTTCTCAGCCTTTATGTATAAATGGAGGTCAGTAGGAAATGTCTTTGCATTTGTCTAATCCTCCAGGAGAATGGGCCGGGTATAGCTGCTCCCTTGATAATATCTGTGTGACTGTTATGAAGATGAAGGTTCCTGATGAAGATGAAGGATCATGATGAGAGCCACACACCCGTGTGAGTGGCTGTATGTGGAGGAGGGATACTGGAAGAAATGGCAAAGGTGCTGTGTTGGTTTGGTGTCTTTACAGGCTGAGCTCTGTCAGGTTGAACTGGGTGTGCCTTGGCTATAAAATACAGGTCAGGGCAGGAGCCTTGGCAAGGGTGAGAGGGGAAGGATTCAATGTCGGAGTTAGACATAAAGAGAGGGTGATTGCTCCTATAGAGACATGCACTGACCCTTTCTCTCCTGGAGCACTCTTCCTGTTTTCCTTTTAGAAGTCAGAGGTTTCTTCACAGCAGAGCAGTGAGCAGAGAAAATCAGCCTCCTTTATCCAGAGATGTGAAGGTATCTGTGAGAAGCTGGTGGTGTGAAAAGAAGTGGTCTGGGAAACTGGGCCTTATATGTCATGTGCATGTACGTTAGATGGGTCAAAGACTAGCCTGGGGATTGTGAAGGATTGGAGATTTGAGTCCTGTAGTTCTACATGAGGATCTGTTGAAGGACAGAAGGGAATGCTTTTCTCATGTATCTTATCATTACCCACCCATAGTATCACTCCTTGTGATGTCCTCCTTCCCTAAAGATTTGGCAAGAAGACGTGTAATTCTGGCTGTATGGAATGCCCTGGGAAGTTCTTTGTGTGTATTTGCAGGTGGTCATAATTGTGTAACTTAGCAACTTAATTGTGTACTCATGACATAAATCATAAAAGGTCATGTGGGAGTTTTAGGAAGTGCAGTTGGTGCATTCACTGCTTGGTAAGCACCTGTGGTATTTACCTACTCTTAGTTACATGATCAAGAAGGGTGTGTCGTGATCGCCTCCTTTCTGTAGCTGTTTGTTCCCTTCCTTGCTCTTTGATGATCTGAATATGGTTCTTTCTCTCTGCAAGTCTGTGGAAGATCGGGTCTGTTGTATTTGCCTGGCTGTTCTCTACATGCCTTTCATGTTTACAGCTATAAAAAGACTTTCATAGATGTTTCTTTAACGTGTCTCTGTAATAAATACACTTCTTATGCATTCACAAACGGAAAAGTCAAATATTAGCCATGGTAAGGAGACATCTGAACAGCTTTTCTCCTGGTGGAGTCTCTCTGCCAGTTTTGAAGATCGTGATAACCATGTGAGTCATGCAGAGTTTGAGGGGATTGTTGGGTGTGCACTGTATGAGGAGATACTGGTAGAAACATGGCATGTGTTCTGTTGATTCCTAGGATTTAAGCCTGGCTTTCTGAAAATAACTCTGAAGGAGATTTTTTTTTTTTTACATTGAGTTCTTTGGAATCAAATGGCCTAGTTTTTGTTTCAGCATTCCTTTGCTTTGCATTCCTTTGCTTTAAGAGTGAAGTCACCCAGCCTTCAGAGAGCTCATGTGTGATACTCTGATAACTGGGTCTTTAATAGAGCTGGTAATAACATTTTCTATTTCTTCAAGGTACTGGGAGGAACAGAATTATCATTTTTGTGATGCTTGGGATTGGAGAATTTGTGCATGCAGCTTTTCTTTCAACAGAATTTGTCTGCAGATTTAACTTTCTGTTAGTGTGGTGTTTGAAATGGGGAAAGAGTTTCATCTGTCCAGAGCCAGGGCCTGTGTAGGAGAGTGAAGTGGCTAAAAGGAAGGTGTAAAGCTCCAGTTTGTCCTGGACTTTTGACAAGGCCCACAGCTGTGGTTGTGTTTTCTTTTCAGGGTCTAAGATATGACTTTATCTGGGATTTATGGTGTGAGCTCCTGTGTGAGCATCTGGAATACTTCTTACAAACTAATTCCCATTGTGTACCTATGACACCTGACACAATCTGAAATGTGAATCTATGGTTCATGGACTTCTGACGGTTCCTCAATCTTTTTGTGTCATATTTGTTTGTTTCTTGTGAAGGAGTAAAGCTGGACCTCATTGTGCCTGGCAATCCTGTAAACAAATAAAAGGGGGTGAAGCTTATGAGGAGAACAGGAGTTGTTTAGTCTCAAAACAGAGGAGACTCAGGGTGGAACTTATTGCTCTCTCTAATTACTTGAAATGAAGTACTAGCGAGGTGGGTGTTGATCTCTTTTTTCATGTCTCAAGTGAAAGTCCGAGAGGAAATGGCCTTAATTTGTGCCAGGGGAGGTTCAGATCAGATATTTGGATATTCCTCTGTGAAAGAATGGTCAGGCACTGAAATAATTTGCCCAGAGGAGGTGGTTGGAGTCACTGTCTCTGAAAGTGTTTTGAGAGGCTTCTTGATGAGATGCTTGGAGATATTTTTCAAGGCTGATTATGGTGGTGCTGGTCTGGACTAGATGACTTTGAAGGTCTCTTCCAGCTTTAATGATTTTGTGATTGCGTGAAACACCAAGAGATGTCTTATAATTATCAGGGTGGGAGACCAGTTCTCATCCATACCTTGAAGTGGATATAGCTAAATTTATGTTTCCCTCAAATGGGACTGAATGAAATGCTCTTTTCCCTGTGGCTGATACATGATTATAATCTGCGTGTTGACCATGATAAAAAAAAAAAAAAAGACTATGAATACAGAGCCAAGAGACTGAGAAATTGGATTTGAATGTGGAAAATCGACTGGTCAGTGCAGCTTTGGCTGGAAAATGGTTTGATTCCAGGCCTTGTGCCAAGGTCCTTGCTGAGGTCTATGCTGTTTACTTTGATCCTGGTATCCCTGTCCTGAAAGGCAATGCCACTTCTCCAGCAGAAAATTCTTTCCTGAAAAACTGTGAGGGTGATGCTTGTGTAGAATGGCTTATAATATCTGCATGAAAATTTCATCTTTCATTTGTAACTCCCAGGAACATAGAGATGTCTTGTGTCTTCACAGTTGGAATTAGATTCTTGGGGTTTTGCTTCCTGTAAGGTCTTGGTCTTTTTACCCATTTCTAGTCAGTGCCTCTTCTTTTGGAATTATGACTCTGGCTTGGCAGCAAATACCTATTTCAATCACCAAGGACAGAATTTTGTGTGTGAGGAATGTGAAGGAAAAGGAAGAAGTGACTCTTGGAATTTATTAGAAGGGTGAAGTTGAGAAAGAGGCCTCAGATACTTCATATCTTTGGAAGGTCACATAACAGAATTGCTGAGAGCTGATGACTTTTTTTGTAATGAACCCCATTACTGCAGAGTCCAGTGTAAGACTTTAGGGCTGCACTTGCACCTTTAGGCCTCAGATGTTCACAGAGATGAATTCCAATGCCCACCATTGGAGAAGACCAAGAGTTCCTGGTGAACTTATCTAACTGGCCTTTGTTCCTTGCCTTGCTTGTTTGATGTATGTTTTGTTTTGTTTTGGTTTGGTTTTTTGTGGTGTGGTTTTGGTTTTTTGTGGTTTGGGGTTTTTTTTGTGGGTGTTTTTTTGTTGTTGTTGTTGTTGTTGTTGCTTTTTTGTGTGTGTGTTTTGGTTTTGGTTTTTTTGTTTGTTTGTTTGTTTTGTTTAATTGGCTTTCTTTCTGTGCAGGTTTCCTTGTAGTTTTCAGCCTTGCTTCATTTAGCAATGAATCCTATATTAGTGCCTCTTGTTCGTGCTACAGCAGGTGTGAAAGGCAGGAGAGGTGAGGGGACCTTTGAGTTTTGTTACTGTCAGGGGGAAGGGAGGTAAACATCACCTTGGCAGTATCTCTGTGGAACACTGTGTGTGATAAAAGAGGGCAGGAGATTTCCTCTGAGCCATTAGTTAGGTAAGCCTAACTGTTGAATGACTGCTAATCTTTTAGTTTGGTTGTTTATCATTCATGTAGCTTAGAATCCTTCTGTTTCTTCTCAGAATGCTGGTGATCAGATAAATTTACCTCTCCTCCTGATGTGATCATGGTGCTTTATTCCCTCATGATAAATTTTGCCAGTGATATTAAGGGGCAGTAGCAAACCAACAGCTGTGTAGCATTGGAGAGAGGACAGGAGACCTCTGTATGTGAGAGTATAGAAGAACAGATGATTATTTCCCTTGCTGTTGTATGTCATACATAACACATGCTTGTGCCTGATGGGGTGCCATGTAAAAGGAATTGCTGTTGCTCAGTAAATGTGTCAGGAAAATGTTGTGCCTGGTCTGTACATTTCCATATGTTTGTAACTCTTGTCACATCTCATGAGCTCATACTCAGGGTGTCTGGCCTTATGTGGAAGGTCTCCTCTGTCCCAGCTGCCCGAGTGCAGCTGCAGTTCCCACACACACCTGTGATGTTTCCAGCTGTACAGAGGAAGGGTTTCATGAGCACTCCTGCTGTGCTCACCCAGGAACACTTTGTCTGTGTTGTAAAATGCCAGAAGCATGTCGGCTGCAGCTGTCAAAGTGCAGAGCGGCCACCCAGCCCAGCTGAGATTTCCATGAACAGATCAGGAACCAGTGGGAGAATGTGGACAGAGTGTTTCCCACTGAATCACCAAGACCATGCTGGTCACACACCTGGAGGCTGTTAAAGGGCTGAGGAACAGGCTGGAGAGTCACCTCCAAAGAGTTTTATGCAGTGGCTCAATGTCCAAGTGGAACTCAGTAGTGTGTGATGTCCATTCAGTACCTTCAGAGACAATGGGATCAGGCACACCCTCAGCAAATTTGCAGCTGACATTGAGCTGAGATCATTAGTGAGAGGTCAGGGATGATGTTTACGGATGAGCTGGTGGAGCAGCTTAATGAACTTCCAGAAGGCCAAGTCGAAGGTCCCGCATGCGGATCAGGGCCATCCCCAGTTTAAACAGAGAGTAGGGGATTGAAAGCAGCCTTGAAGAGAAGTGCTTTTGGTAATTGCTGGATGATGAGTGGGACATGAGCTGGTGATGTCCACTTGCTGCCCAGACTGCATCTAGGGTTGCATAACAAATAGGATCACAAGCAAGAAGAGGAAGCTGGTCCTCTCCCTCTACACTTCTTTGACCACACAGATTGTCAAAGAACTGCAACATCTCTGCCATGAAGAAGCTCTGGCGAAACTCAGGTCCTTAAGCCTGAGAAAATAAAGCTTTGAGTAGAATTTACTGTGTCTTTTCAATTTATGAAAAACTCTTAAAGGGAATATTGAAAGAGATATTTTAGGTTTAGATAAGACAAAATGTTTTATGATGAGGATGGTGTGACACTGGAATGAGTTGCCCACAAATATTATGGTGATGCCATCATTAGAATGCTTCAAGGACAGGTTGGATGGGCCTTTCAGTAACCTGGTCGAGTGAAGGATGCTCCTGCCTGTGACTAATGATTGGGTTAAATTATTTTGAAGGACCCGTTCAAGCCAGAGAATTCTCTGGGTCTATGAAAGACTCATGGTGGCTTTGCATTTCTGTAATCAGGTCCTCAAATATAGAAATGCAAATAAAGTGACTTTTCTAAATCAGAAACAAAGGACAAATTATATCCTTAGCAAAAAGATAAAAACATTGCTTTTTATCAGACTAAACAGTACCTCAACTTCATTCGTCCCAAGACAGGAAAGCGGAATTGAAGATACACAACAGGGTACTTATATGTTTCCCTGGCTATAGACATATATACAGTTTCCTGTTTCTTTAATTGT